TCTATCTATCTATCTATCTATCTATCTATCTATCTATCTATCTATCTGAGAGAGAAAGAGATGGAGCCCTGGTCCGTGTGTGTGTGTGTGTGTGCGTGTGTGTGTGTAGGTTTCAGATCATTGTTAGAGGAATCTAGATCTATCTTCTGTATGGCATTTCCTAGAAACTCTGTCTTCTCTCCAGTGACAGCTAAATGAATACCTTTGGGAAGGTCAGAAAAAGACTGAGATACACATCACCTCCTGTCATTTTCCCGCAGCATTGTTCTCGTATTTTTCCTGAAGACTTTAAGATGTCATGGAACTTTTTGTTGCTGCTTCTAAAAGTTTTCCCATGTCATGAATCAGTGCCAGTTTGATTCAACTGACATCTGTCTTGCTAAGCAACTTCCCACCATTGTTTGCACAGTGACAATAGTTGGAAATTTCCCCTGCCATCTCACAATCCACAAATGAGATGGTCAATAAATGGGTATTTCAGGTCAGTCCATGCACTCATTAGTAATGTTACACAACTTCACAACTGGACACAATTTGGTGTACATATGCATTCTAAATTATCTTCCTCCCATGTGTAACCATGAGGAAAGATTTTAATTCAGTTACATTTTAGTGTTTTAAAACTAATGTTAACTTCAAACGCTACCATTTTGACCCAAAGTTCTGACTGACCTGACCAAGATCAAGATTTTAATGCAGGATACATTTTGCAAAATTATCATAATCATCCTCACATTTTCCAGCCAATAAATTATTATTATATTTCAGGGATAAATTTTCTTCTGGATAAACGAACAATCTTACTTTCTCAAAAAGCAAGCTTAAAGCAAACTTAAAGCAAAATTGTACCGTTAATTTAATTGTAACAACAATGCTTTAAATTTCAGAATTCTAGGATCCTGGAAATCTTTTTCTTATGAAGTGAAAAAGGAATTCAAATGAGTGACCTGTTTTTCATTGTACTATAATTTTTCTCCCAGTAGACTTCCAGCTTCTTTGTATATGTATATGAGTACTTCTTACAATATCTTCAAGCTTTTCCCCATCTTGGAGAAACTGTGTATAGCAAGGAACACAACTTCACAGTTATGTCAGATGTAGTTATGTCGGATGGGGAAACTGGAGCAAATGCTTGCAAGCTTTACATAAATGATGAAAAACTAAAGCTTGCAAGCATTTGCTCCAGTCTCCCTGTCTGATAGAATTACAGGTAGTCCTCAATTTGCAACAGTTCATTTAGTGTCTATTCAAAGTTACCACAGCACTGAAAAAAGTGACTTATGACCATTTTTCACACTTATAACCATTGCAGCATCCTCAGGGTCATGTGATCGAAATTCAGACACTTAGCAACCGGCTCATATTTATGACGGTTGCAATGTCTTAGAGTCATGTGATCATCTTTCACGACCTTCTAACGATCAAGGTCAAGGAGGAACCCAGATTCCTTTAACAGCCATGTGTCCTAACGCAACAACTGCAGTGATTCACTTAACAACTGTGGCCAGAAAGGTCGTAAAATGAGGCCAAACTCACTTAACAGCTGTCTTGCTTAGCAACATAAGTTTTGGGCTCAGTTGTGATTGTAAGTCAAGGATTACATGTACTTTGATCACCCATGTATTAATTTTCAGTTCCATACTTTTTGGCTTATACTATCTTGCATTTGGGTTCTTAGCCGGCAACATGCTATCATCTGTATATAAAAGAACAGATACATTTATGCCCTCAACAAAAACACCATTATGTCACCACAAGTATTCCTTATACATTTAATCATAAATACATTAAACAAGCAAGGGAGGCCATGTACTCATTTCCTGTTCACTGTTGAACCAATGAATTAAGAGTTTATTCTCCTGCATACTTTTCTTCGATTATATATTACTGTTACTGCATTTAGTAGCAGTAACCAACTTTTAATTACATATCTTCACAAAACTTTCTGTAATTCAAGTGTGCTCATTTTCTTCAGATTAAACACTTTTTAATATCTGTAATAAAACCTGATTTGATCAAGAGTTATCTCCTTTGAATTGGTGCCCATGAATTTTTTAGTTCAAGTATGACTTGTGAGAAGCCTGACACCAATATCAAATTCCTATTTTTATAGGTACCCAGAGCAAATGTAGTTGACTCGAACTCATACTTTCTGACATTCCTTTTAAACTCTTAATTCATAATTACTTTCCTGCATATCTTCATCAACTCATGAACAAGATCAGACTATTGTCATTTAGAGCTAACACATATTTCCCCTTTCAGTTAGATTCATGGTCATACAACATATCTCTCTTTTCCTGAATATTTTTCCCACAACGGGAATTTTAAAAATTGGAGATTGGATTTTGCACAAAATATCATTAGCTCCATGTGGGCAGGGATAGTGGAATATGGTGTTCCCATTAAGCTTTTGACGAAGAGATATTTCATAACAAATATAGCTAATTAAAAATCAAAATACTGTAAATGTGTAATTATTTCTTTTTTTTCTTTTAAACCATTTCCTGTAATGTGGGTGGATGTGGAAATCCATATCCATCAAATTCTGCTCTAAAAATGGAAGCACTGAAATTCACTATTGCAACAATTTTCTTTCTAGTTGCTAAATCAGTCTGTTTAGAGAAAATAGAACAACAATGAACGGTACAACTAAATAGCTGGTATTGTGTAGAGGAATATCTCCACAGTTTTTGGGGTTAGACCCTCCAAAGTCCCGATGGGAAATTCTATAGAAGGTAATAAGATCCTGTGGGACTTTATGATCCAGATGAACAGGCAAGTCTTGGTCAACCAACCAGACACTGGTTGATTGGCCAAGCAGAGGCCCAGAAGAAATTATACTACTTGAGACTTCTCAGGAAACAACAACTGAATGAAAACCTGCTGATGACCTTCTACTGCTGTACCATAGAGTCAGTGGTGGGATTCAAATAATTTAACAACTGGTTCTCTGCCCTAATGATTTCTTCCAACAACCAGTTCACCAAACTGCTCTGAAAGTTAACATCCAGTTCTCCTGAACTGGTGTGAACTGGCAGAATCCCATCACTGCATAGAGTATATTTTCACTTACTGCACATGTATGGTTTGCAAGTTGCACTGTGGCAGATAGGACAGCACTCCAGCGGATTAACATCATTGCCCAGAGGATCATTGGTTGTTCTCTTCCCTCTTTGGAAGAGCTTTATAGCTCCCGCTGCCTTAAAAAAGTTCAAAACATACTTCAAGATCCATCTCATCCTGGGCACTATTTTTTTTGAACTATTACCATCTGACATCCGGTACAGGTAATAAAAACAAGGACAAATAGGCCAGTGGTGGGATTCAACATTGTTTTACTACCGGTTCTGTGGGCGTGGCTTGGTGGGTGTGGCAGGAGAAGGATACTGTAAAATCTCCATTCCCTCCCCATTCTAGGGAGGTTACTGCAAAATCCCCATTCCCCTAGGAGTGGGAAGGATACTGCAAAATCCCATTCCCTTCCCATCCCCCAACCTGCTTTCCAGCTCCATTCTCCTATGCAGGGCAACAAAA